GAGGTTACAGAACTTTAAAATTACTTTAAAAAATGGAAAATAATTATATCATTTGATTTCAAGATATTTTGTATACCTTAAAAATAATTAATTCTATCCCGGGATTTCCCGGGATCCCGGGAAACAGTTCACTTTTATCCCGGGATCCCAGGACAAGCAAAATACCGGGAAATGAGAAACCCTAAGAAAATACTATAATATATGTTGATGCATAACAAACTGAATCACTTATTCAAGATCCCATTAGGAGAATATATCATTTTCATCAAATTGGCGCACACCATATAGCCAGAGCAGAAAGAAATTCTCACTGTACTGATTTCGTAAAACCATTTTCGTTGTCTTTCTGCTAATAAGAACATTATATTATCACAAAAACAGAAATGATTAATTGAGGCATTATCTACTGTTGAAATATTAATGTACAATTAAGAGAAAAAATATACTCCAAAGACTTTTAATTAACGTGTAGTTTCTCATATATGTCAAGCTATGTTCCTCATCATCCAGCTATTTTATATTTATGTCTAAACAAATCTTGAATGAATGTAAGTAGAAAAGCCTTCTTAGTGTTATAGCGTTTATTTATGTGATAAAATGCAAATTAAATTTCAATAAACTATTTTTCAGATTACAAAACTCAATTCATTCATAATGAGGAAAGAAAATCTTATGTAAAGCAATTGTTAAATTAGGTATTGTCTGCAGCTTCAGTACCGATGACATAACCCACATCTATATATATAATCGAGACGGGTTGATAATAATAATAATAATAAGTGCACAACCCAAACGGTTAGGAGTTGAAAGTTGAAATTTGGTACACAGATAGGGTACGTCACGAAAACGCACACTAAGAAAAGATTTTCCGAAATTCCCTCCCGGGGGGAAAGAGTCAGGATTAAGTCATCTATATACATTACGGATACGAGCCCAAACAGGAGTTGAAAGTTGAAATTTGGTACACAGTTAGGTTACGTTAGGAGAACGCACACTAAGAAGGGATTTTCCGAAATTCCCTCCCGGGGAGGAGAGAGACAGGATTAAAACTTCTATATACATTATGGATACGAGCCCAAACGGTTAGGAGTTGAAAGTTGAAATTTGGTACACAGTTAGGGTACATCACGAGAACGCACACTAAGAAGGGATTTTTCGAAATTCCTCCCCACGGGGGAGAGAGACAGGATTAAGGCTTCACACTTCCATCAACAATGGAAGTGCTAAGTAATAATGGAAGTGCTAAGTAACAATGGAAGTGTTAAGTAACAATAGAAGTGTTTAAGTAACAATAAAAGTTTTAAGTAACAATGGAAGTGTCAACAATGGAAATGTTACGTAACAATGGAATTGTTAAGAGAAAGCGACGTGCAAGACGCAGATGCAGTTTTTTTTTCGTTTTTGCGGAAAATCGAACATATTTTTAGACCCATCTAAAAATTCTCTAATTAGTCTGAAAACAAGGGGACCCAATTCTTGCATTCTATGAAAACGGGTAAGGTTGACTGTAACGTAATAATCTTTATCTCAGTTATCGTTACTTTTGCCCGAGCAACGCCTGGCCCACCTGCTAGTATTTGTATAAATAGATAACATGTAAGTTTTTGTGCTTGATGTTTGGAACATGATAAACTAAACAATTCTTTTTTCTTGCTTTTACACACTTTTTTACGTAGTCGATGATCGAATACCTTGTTCTCTGCATAGCTTAAACACCGATTTTGGATGTCACAAATCTAATGATCTACAAATAAGAAAAATCTCAGAGCATTTGCACGCAGCATGCAAATAGAAACCGATGATAAATACAAGCATTACGAAAGAGACATAAACACGGAATCCTAGACATTTCTTGACAAGTTATCTACACCAACCAGAGACAACAAGAAACTTGAAACTAAATAAATGCATTTGACAATTTACGTAGTATCTTCACACAGCAGAACACTGATATAATTTAAACCGATTGCATATTTACATATATGTTCAATATAACAAATGAAATCGACTATAAATTTGAATTTTGATACCTTTGTCTCTGGAATCATTCCGTGTCTATGAAAATGATTATTGATAAACATATCCTATATTTCCTATCGATATGAACACATATTTTTAATATAAATTTTTAAATTAATTTATAAGTTTGCTTTCCGAGCATTTAATTTCTCTTTACAAGTGTTTTCCGAGTTCACTATAAATTAAGTATAACCTTGTTTAAAATTTTATACTTTATATAATATACAAACTTTTCAAACTGAGTTTAATTTTAACTAGCAATATATTGTTTCAATGAGTAATTTTCTTATTAATATACAAGTATATACCACAGCTAAATTTAGTATATTAAACACCTAATATAAAAAACGTTCTAATTTCCTTTAATAAACTAATCGGTTATTAAAATTAGCGATTACGTAATTTTTTTACTATTTAAAACACAAATTTATTTTTACTTTTCACTATTTATCAGCGTTTTTAAAAGAAGCAATGTTTTATTTCAATAGAATAGTAAAATCCTCCAATAATTTTACCTACTTTTTTGTAAATGAGATATTAAATTTTCCAGATATAGTAGTTTTATGTAAATCCAAAAAAATTGAATTTCTATTCTGCGGACTCGGCGTTATTAGCCTCATTACCATATTACTAAACAACTTCACATGCATGTGTTGAATCCTTCCTCGTTTCTATTGTGTTTTGTTGGCAAAACTACAACTTGTCCATAAAATCACGCTGTTGTCAACAGCTGGACATCGTGAGGTATGAAGGAGTACTTGTCAGGAGTTGCAATTTGGCACAGAGTATTTAGTGCACAAATCATGCACACATAAAAAAACCAAACTTGTAGTTAGACAGGGGACCGAGAACCGAATCAAAAGAAAATACAAAATGACGAAGTGTTTCTACAAACAGGCACTAGTACGAGATTTGGCCATGCATTGCTTGTTGGAAATTTCGAAATGCGAACGTTGCGAAATTGAATTTTGACAAACGTGTAATACACGTTATGCGCATATTCTTTTCACCTCATCTTTTGCCATGGTACTCAACGAAGAAACCAAAATCAGGACAATTCGGATACAAACATTTGCCTGCTTACTATAGCCAAGGATAAGCCCGTGACAATGTAACCTGTTGTAACCAAGACAGCAACGAAGCCCGCCATAATCTCCGCCAGACCTTGAGTACGGGTGTCGGATTTTCCTCATCGGTTAGAGCTTATTTTTAGAAAACGGCGCAGTGAGACTCCGAGACAAGTCTCATCCCAAAAATGGCTTTGCCGTTTTACTTCTTATTAGGTAAATAAACGCAGAAGTTGTTTAGCTCAGAACTAGTGATGTTATGAAATTGTTATCGTCTCTGTCACCGAGCAGATATGCAAGCAAATTAATGCTTGTTTTCGACCTAAGATGTGTGGACCGTGTTGTCAACAAATGTCGATTGGCAACTTCTCACATTCCAAACTACAGCCCCTAACCTGAATGTGATTAGTGAATATTTTAGCTACTCAATCAAGCGGATAAATATAGATATCCTTCATATCAATATAATCGTCATCAGTGTCGAAAATACTACCTATCTAATTGCCAATCTACATTTTCATCAATAAAAAATACTTCATTATGATATGATTGAAAAATAGTGATACGTAATTTAAACCCTTACAAACTCTTAACATAGGAACAGTTTTAAATAAAATAATCTGGTATTAATTAAACTAGCAATAATTACAATAAGTTGCAAACTGAAACAGAAACTAATTATCACAATTTCTAAGAGTTTCAAACAACGCTTAACAATTGAATGCACTACAGAAATCACATTATGCTTTAATTAATAATGCACTTAACACTAAATAATTTTTTTTAATTTCTTGAATTCTTACTTTTTATCTACATTGGATGTTGCTTCGTCCATGACAAGAATTTTATTCTGACGTAGTATGGTTCTGGCAAGACAAATTAACTGTCTTTCTCCTACGCTGAAATTTCGTCCTCCTTCTGTTAAATGTGTATCTAATCCCCCTGGCAACTTACTGATAACGTCTTTTAATTGAACCTTAAGTTGACATATATTTACAAATAAATACAAAATTATTCAATTTTACGATTAAAACGAATTCAAAAGAAAAATGAAAGAGTATATTAAAATATTCAATTTATTTGAAACCTCTTCTATGGCTTTCCACATCATTTCTTCTGAATATTCGTTAAAAGGATCAATATTTCTTCGAAGAGGACCAGTAAATAACATTGGATCCTGTAAAATACACATTATTCATGAAAAAAAAACAAATTGCAAAATACAATTTGTTTTTTTAAATTTCTATTCATTACAATTAAAATGGTCATTCACATCAAATTTGTTCTCTTAGTTATTATTCTAAAAGAATCGCGATTTACACAGAATAAAAATATTGTAATTATATTCTTAAATTTATTTTATTTAAACACTTTGCGTAAGTTTCAATTTCCATCAATTTAAAATCATTGCCTTTATCCTACAACTTTCATATATCCATTCAAGTACAAACATGTCCAAACCCACAATTGGAAGGCCAGGACACAAAGGATGAGATCCCGACTTATCTAGGAAAATCAGTTTTTGGTTTCTCTACCTGCCTTTTAAAATACTGTATGCTGACAACTTAACACAATAAATCATATAAAGAATATTATTACAGCAAGTAAATACTAGAATTGTTTAATTAATATAAAGAATTTTTATTAAATCAGTTACTATATACTTGAGGAATAATGGATATTTTACTACGTAGATCCCGAAGACCAATATCTTTAGTGTCAACTCCATCGATGGTTATCGTTCCTGTTGGTTCTCTCATGCGAAATAACGAAGCAATTATAGAACTTTTTCCAGCTCCTGTTCTTCCAACAATTCCTATCTGCAATTTATGAATGATACAAATTCTCTCAGACAGAAATTACTAGCAACCAGTTTTGGATTCCGCAGGTAGTTTACCTTTTCTCCTGAGTTAATACGAAATATTAAGTTCTTTAAAACCGTATTTTTATCATTAGAATATTGTAAAGAAACATTATCAAAATGAATTTCTCCTTTTTGTGGCCAATCTGAAGGAGGTTGTTTATCAGCAGTACTTTCGTACGATGCTTCTGATTTTAATTTGCTGTAGTTTAGTATGCGTTTTACCGAGTTCATCTGTAAAATTGACTTTGTGTTAAATACCACAATGAATAAAACTTATTTAGTTAAAAATATATAATATCCAAAATTATATTAAATGTAAATAAAATGATAAAATTAATTTGAGAAATATTTTTGTATGAAGCGATTGTTTTTATTTTACTTACATTCATTTTATACTACATTTGAAATGTTATAGAAAACATACTTCCGAAAAACTAAAATAATACCACTGAACGAAAGCCACCTATCTCAGAAAATTTCTTTTTATAAATCTGTGAAATTTGAGATAACTTTAGCGAGTTCAAATTTGATGGTGTTTTTTTGTGTTTTTGGATTAAATTAGATTAAAATAAACATCAAAGCTGTCGTTTTATATATCCAAATGTATTTTGTATTGTTAGCTAGTAGAAAAAATAAAGAAATTGCAGATTCAACAGTAGTTTCTTATGCAATGCAACATGATTTCAGAATAATAATTTAGTTTGTTGGCATCGATGAAATGCCACGNAATACCACAATGAATAAAATTTATTTAGTTAAAAATATATGCTCTTCACCTCAAATTAGTAGTGGCTTGCCCCTGTACATCATACTTTTCCTTTAACAATAGAGTCGTGCCGGTCATCTATCTAACACATTTCAGGGAAAAATTTTTAAATTGAAATAATGAAATTGAAAGACGAGACCAGATATATCTGGTCTCGTCTTTCATCTATCTAACTCTATTCTTGAGGTTAAAGAAAGACAGTCAGACAGACGACAGTGGGAATTTATAGATCTACAATTTTTTTCAAATTGTAACCCAAAAAATAATTCTGGTGGCAGACAATCTTTTTCATAACTAAAAATAGTCTTATTACTTACTGTATC